ATGACAATTTTGTCCAGACTAGCTGTGGAGATACGTGAAAGAGCTTGCTTTATTTTGTTGATAATGATGACAAACGGAATGTAAATTGTGCCCTTCAAGTCAAAGCATACACTCACCAATCTTATTTCATATTTGAAAATGTTCACTAAACCCTAAATAGTGATTGTAGGTCGTCTGTGGAAATGGATAGGAGTTCATCGAAGTCCAAATATCAATTGGTTAGAAGAACAGGTGACTTTATTTGGTCGTGACACAGGCTAAAATGTTTCCACGATTCAAATGAACCGACATGCTATCAGAGACCCAATGAACTATCGTGAGAAGATAAAAGCAGCAATGAAATTTGGTGACTTCCATTATTTCTAAAAATCCATTTTTTGCAAACTTTCACTCTGAAGAGTCCACTAATTTCCCTGAAATTTTCACAATCCATGTGCCATCAAATTCCTTATGATATTTGGTCACTTGAAGAGAATCCTTGACTGCTGTATTAGAGAGTGAGTTTTCACTGAAGCCCATCCAATCATCGTTGTCTCAATCGCCTTCGACTCACTCCCTGCAACAATCAGATATCGGCTCCACAGTATCTCAATCACTTTCAGATTGATCTTTATCAAGGTATCATTTTGCATTGATCTAATGTCAGTTGCCAATTCTTCCATGGAGCGCTATAAAGCACTCGACGATTGTGGAAGGAAGCGTAAACTTCCCTATTTGGTAGAATATTTGAATATAGTTAGTGTGAGGAGATGCAAAACTTAAAAAATTTTAAGTAATTGGATGTATACCACAGACAGTCATTAATTAAGAAGAATAATCAAGGTTGGAGGAGAAATGTGATTTCTAAGTTGTAAAACTTGATCAATAATTATGTTATATATACGGCAATTTGCTTACCTAATTAGAGTTCTAAAGGTGGAGATTGTGAGCGTAGTTTGCAAGTTCTGGGTGAGAATTCATAGCTGAGATTTTTGGAGGGAGGTTGATTGTAAATAGGCCCACTTTCAATGTATGAAAGTAAGGGGAAGGGGGGGGGGGTGGAGTGATTGAAATGGAGATATTTTGTACTGTCTAATTCGATTTGAATAAGAGTTTCAATAGTGGTGATTCAGGGAGTCCTCTCAATTCCTATTGCTGATGTGGGGACACTTCTATTGCTAGAATTCGATATTATTCAAATTCAACACTCCACATCACCTCTACATGAGTCTTCATTTTAATCGACTGAAATGATCCGTCTTCACTATCAACAATTTGGCAAGGCTTTTCAAGTCGCATTTTGCAATGAGTAACTGAGAGAGCATGTGACATTCGAGGGCCCGTATGGCGCAATTACAATTCCTGTCCGGAGATGAATTTCGATATGGGAAATGAGGAAAGCCTTTGGCTNTGTATGGTGCTGAATTCTGTGCTAATTGATCAAATCGACATAGCCATACCTATGTTTTCTCATGGTGCATGCTATCGTTACTTGAGTACATTTTCACCTGTGTTGTAGTTCTGATTGTAAACATAAAGTTTGGAAGGGGGAATAAATGCCAACTTTCACCTCCTATATTCCTTTTGAATTTCGCTCTGAGCCATTGAAGTCATTTCAATAACTCAGTGTTTGGTGCATATAATCTTGAATTAAAGTGCCAAATTGGTTAGATGCCTATGTATAGACTAAATAGCTGGTCTATGACCTTTCATATTAACTTGTTCTATCGATGAAAACCACTTCGAATTCTGTCCAATTAGGCCAAACTTCCTGAAATAGAAAGGCCATTGAAATGTTGAATAAATTGTAATATTGCCTACCTTTTTCATCTATTGCTAAATAGGCGAGTGTTGATTCTGCCTCTACGATCTATATATACCCTTCCATCCACTCAAGTTATCTGTGAGCACTTTCAACAATTTGGCAAGATTATTCATGTCTCTCGCTCTGAAAAACCTCCCAAAGTGTATGTGACGTTTGAAAGATCTCCTTGCGTACCGGTTTGGCAGTGTATCGGAACATGCAAGTTGTTGGTACTGACTGTAAAGAATGAAACGAGTTAAGAGACAGACGAACTTCCATTTCTAACCCTTCCACAAAATTGTACTAACTTAACAACCTGGGAATTTAAATAAATTGATAAATGAAAAATAAAGTAAATGTTTGAATTCCTTATAATTTCGATGTTTTATTCATTGGGCATAGGGTACAAGAAAGAACAGCACAGCACATGGCAACGCAAACATTGTGCTTTTGTTTTAGTCCTTAAAGACCATCTACGGACACAACGAACTATGCTCCTACTGGAATGAGAATCACACTACAGTCACCTCTGACACGAATAGAAAACTCATTCATGGGATTTTCTTGCTCATTCAGGTGGTGTCATCACTGAGTCACCGAAGAAGAATGTCCAGAAGCCAGTGCATGCGTCGACCGTATACTTTTAGTCAACTTGGGCTACGCAGTTGCCGACCTGTGGAATGCGAATTGTTTCTCTCGCCAGTTAAATATTGATGATCATTTTAACAGGTGAAGGAACTAAACAGTCCAAAGATCAGATTGATTAGGTGGGGTGGATTAGAATTAGAAAATAATTTGTCACTCGAATTTTCGCATTGTGGGATTCAAGGAACCACGAAATCCGTCACCACGCACTATGTTCGAACATTACAAATTTCAATGACTGACACTTGGCTTCATCAATTATATTCAATGTCTGGCTATTTAGAGCGCAAAGACCAGTTAACGAAGTTGAGTAGCTAGTCATGCATTCACAATGCACTTGCCATTTCAAGTTCAGGAAGTGAATGTGTGGTGACGGACTGACATGTCTGCCACCAACTTGTCTTTCTTACATCCCAGTAGACTTGAAGTCACTAACTGCCGATTTTATATAAAGACCAAAATTTTGATGCTTCGTTGATTTACTTCTTTTGAAATTGGCATAATTGGATTGATTTTGTGTAATTAGCAGGATTTATTTGGTATTCATCATGATCGACGATGCTTTAATGAACTTATGAATCTAAGATGAAGGGGGTCACGAGTGTAAGCCTCTTCAGAACATACTTTGTAATGCCGAGGATGATTTTGTACATCAAGTGGTTGTATGGATTCTAGAAAATGAATTTGTATTAAGAACGTTCCTTCAAGGGGCCTGGGGAAATTCTTGCACGCGACTTCAGTTGTTCACACTTATAAAAAAAAGATCAGTGACACTCATCTCATTATGGTCTCTTTCACAGAGGAATTGAATATGTCAAATGGAGTGGATTCGGCAGATAGCGATTGGTTACGTAGTAGCAGCAGAATTTCGTTCTCAAGCACAAATGTGAAAAACCCGTAATTAATAAACCGATTTCAACCTAGTCCACTCCAATGCACAAGAGAATCTCATTTTTTTAAATAACTTGAATCGAATTTGTAAGCAGAATCTCGGCCAAGTGATGCCTGTGCGCATTCTTGTTGGAAATTCCTGGAATACACCTCCTGGTTTCCATAAAAAATTCAACGAACGAAAATAATTACTCTTCAGCAAACGCGTTCAATCTGTAGCGGATTGCTACACTAGTAAAGCCTGACTGACTCAGAAATCTCTATGGCAGATTCTCCAACATCTAGCTAGACTCCCAGAACCAGTTAAGCTATAGCCCAGCTATAAAGAAAACAGACGTGTAGCAAGGAGCACGTTTATTCAGTACAGGTATTGCGGAAAGAAGTGTACACTCATGTTCAGGATGGGGGATTAGGTTAAACAGAGGTTAACGATTTTTCACTGTCTGGTCGCTGCACACAGAGTTGTACGGCCGCACCTCCCAACTCTGGCGAGTAGACATACGAGCATACGATGACGCACACAGCGATAACGTGTCCCACAAATCGCTAGAACTGATGAGTTTAGTATTAGTGTAATTGAGGTTCCATTACCTGCAAAGTGCATGCAAAATGCTTCTGAAAATACTAAAACACTTTTTCCAAGTTGTTACTGATTTAATACATATAAACATAACATTGTATACAAAATATCAAAATAAAGAGTTGCTCCAATTTGAACTGCAGCTCAATAAGCTAAAATGTATACTGTATACGATTTCTACATATGAACTTACTTTAATTTGAGTTTAAAAATGAAAAGGTGCATTTAGGATACAAAATAAGAAAACAGACAACATTATATAGAGTTTTAACGAAATCCAAGAAAATCTTTTTTGGCCAAGTGGGCAATGATCTTTAAATTTCATCTTGAGAGTTATTGATTTGGCGGATTTGTGAACGAGATTTGCCTGTGGTAATTTGTGGCCTGCACTGACAAATTAAACCATTTTCCAAAGATGTTGATTTTGGTTATTTTGAAGTGTTGTATTATATGCTATTTGAATTTATCTTTATTGTACATAACTTATTGGTCCACTCAAATATTTGAGTGTTTATTGCAGACCTCTGTAATTTCCAGGCATGATTTCTGCGTCTTCTAGTAATTTTGGCCAAATAACATGTGAATTTTGCAGAAATATGTGCGTTATAATGACTTGAATGTAAAATTTGATATGGCGCGCTAAAAATGTTTCATTATATTTTAGCTACACAAATCCACACTCTTTGTACTGTGAACGCGTCTTTTGTCTTTCGCCTTGTATTTTGTCCTTCCAAACTGACGGAGCAAGCATTTATTGCAGTTCTTGTGGTTTCACCTCTCCAGTAGATGCCATAAAAGTCGAATAGAAAATTGGAAAGGAGGTTCGCGATTTTAAGTTGCAAAATGAGTCGGTTGAAATATCTTCCTGACCAAATTGCCAACGTTCAAATTGAAATATTTGTGAGCTCTGCAAACACTTTGATCGCTATTTGTGCCATGAATGTGTTACTTCACACCAAACTATTGTGGGGATTAACTTTAGTAGTTACCTCATTCAACTCCGAAACGATTTTCGACCAAGGTGTTTTCTAAGTTTCTAGTACTCCACGGCTTTATTCGATCGACTGTTAGATTTGCAGTTAAGGTACAGACATTACGTAGATGGACGTAGGGAGTGATGCTTTGGAACGCTTTCAACAAACAATAGAGGGAGCTCTTTTGCGTGCTGAGATTTGTCTCGAGTCATCGGATATTCTACTCAATGACCAGTCTCCGAAAATGCTCACTAAATTGGCGGAGATTAGAGGACTGTTTTCTTTGAGTGAATAAGGTTATTGAATAAAGTTGACTATTGCTCACTGCGTCCTTGTAATTTGTTAACTGGGATGATTTGGCTTCTCTTAAAAGAAATCGCGAACTATCAAAGCGTCTTTTCAAAACTCCATCAGAAATCAGAAACCGATACTCGGGAACTGCACACAGTCTTCCTTTAAACGCTCAGAACATTGCAAACAAGTACCAGAAGACCTCGAAGATGTCTGAGAATGAGATGTCTAGCTCTTCGCCTAGTTCTCGCACTTCTTCATTATCGCAATTTTTAGCAACGTCGCTATCTTTTAATTTATCATTTGAATCCGACGAGTCAATACCTGCTGCTGAACACCCGACAAATGAAACGTGAGTTGTTAATCTGTGATTGGCATTTGGTTTGACTTGTTTTGAGAGAATCGTGATGGTATTTAGGTCTAACAAATAACAATAGTAATGTTGGCTGTGGTATTGGTCATATGTTCATATTAGATAAATGTGCAGAAGGAGGAATCGATTTGTTTAGCCTTATGTAAATGACCTTGGTTGATGCATTTGATAGACTCGTCCTTTCCTATGGAATGATGGAAGATAGAAAGTGTAAGTTTGAATGAGTGTTTGAGTAAAGACAATCAAATTATCCCTAATATTCTTTAATGATGAAATCGTTCAGATCATTGGTACTCACTTTTAAGTCCGATCGATAGGTAGCATTTGAAGCGAAACTGAAAATAGGGTCTCTTTGTTGCAATCAATCAGTTCAGTTGCTATTGTGTGAGTGTGTGGGGGGTTGCTTGAGAAGGAGTGGGTGTGGTAGCGGAAGTTTTGCTGAACAGAATTTGAAGAGGTGAATTTCCTGGAAAGGTAGATGGAAGAGAGAGGTGGGAGAGTGCAAATCTCAATTCCAGATTCAATGTGTTAGCCAGATGCCCCCTCCATTCTATTCATCATCCCTTCTGCCTTTTAAGCACTTTCAGTCGTTATATTAGTTTAAATGGCTTCAACTTAATCATACCTACGTCTGTAAATGTGTGGGGATCAGAATAAAATTCATAATCCGTTCATTCAGAGCGGTTTTGACATTTCTCCAAGAGCAAACATCCAAAACTTTTAAAGGGTTAAATGAAGAACAAGAGAAGACACATGGATCAAATACCATAGATTTATTCTTGAAATTCACATCTTCCTTTATCTTCAATGCATATGATTGAAATTTGGCCTGTATCTTTATTTAATTTAACCCCTTGGAAGTTCCCCTTAGAGCTGTTGAATATTGGCTTCGAGTTAGACGAAGCTCCGTTTTCCTTTTGTATTTAAGTGTATAATTTTCGTCATTAATAATGACTAAATATATTTCTTCTTTTTTTAGAGATTCTGTAGATCCTCCTTCCTCATCTGATCAACCTGTCTCAATTGGAGCATGGGTACGCAGAAGATTGGCCATTGCGCAATCTGCTCTTCAAGATTCACAAGAGCCTTCTGCTTCAGGGTACGATCCTCTTGCGTTAATTTCTTTGAATGCATAATTATGGGTGTTCGAGCGAAGACAAGTATGCAACCATGAATGATATCTGCGTTTAGATTGGTGGTGGCCGACTTTTAGGCCTGGCTAAAGAGGGTTAGTTGGAGTACGAGTGGATCCGCGGTAATGTTTTCTGGATTCAATTCAATTTCTGCTTTTGCATTCCACTATGGTTTTTGAGTGGGTGGGAGGGGGGGGAGGGGTTGGTTGGGTGAGAGGGGGTAAATGAGAGGAAGTTTCGTTGAACAGAATTTGAGTGGTCGATTTCGTAGAGTGAGAGTGAGAAGAAACTGTGGAGTTGTATTTTTATTTCGAATATATTTCGGTAGACGACAATGTACAGTGTATAACGATTTGTCCGATGATGCCGAGATGATACTTATTCGGAGAATGCAAATCTCCATTTCAAGTGCAAAGTGTTTGTATGTTGGAATGGAAGAGTTGATCAGTCTCCATTTCTATTCATCGTCCATTCCGTCTTAGTTGTACTGCCAGAATGCATTTCAGAATTTAGACGGTGCATCGTTGACATCTCTCCATGGTGATACACCTTCAAAATAGGTCCATCATGGCCCACTTTTATCGG